GAACATTCTGGATTGTTCATGTAAATAAGATGTAAATATGAAGATGGTGTAAGAAGAACGAACTGAATTAACTGGTAACATTCACTGTTGATTTTCTTCATCTATCCTTTTGTTGCGTCGTTCTCTGTATCCGCTAGAGGTCAGAGTTGCGCTCTGGCAACGTTTGACGCCTCGACTGAAGATGAAGAAGAAAGTGCGGAAGTAGGTGTTCCAAGCTGATCACCGTTGGAGGAGGAAAGCTCGGCGGATTCTCTTCTTCCTATTTTAAACCAATCAACGCTCGGACGGACATCTGTCCACGTAGAAGATGGGCACCAGGGATGACGAGTATGATTATTTGTTCAAAGGTAAACCTTACACAGTGTTATTGGTCCCGCTAATGTGTTAGTGAAGAGGCTAACAGGCCAGCTGACTGCTGCCAGGCTAACTCTCCCAGCAGCCTTTGTGCTCTATTGGTGTTTCCTACGCTGCCACGGGCGTGTCAGTGGATTAAAGCAGCCGAGACACAGAGAGGGGCCGATCTTAGAGCTTTGCTGTGAAAACAGACGTGGATCCATCAAGTTCTGTCCGCCAACTTTTAGCTTAAAGGGTGGCTCCGGGGCTAGCTGTTAGCCGCCGCTAACCGCTGCCGTCCGTGGGTTTGGACACACCTATTGTGAGTGAACGGATAACATGGGAGTGAGTCAGGCGGAGCAGTACGTTCACAAATGCTCAGACCTTCAACCCCGTTTACGTCATAACCGCTGGGTGAGCCGTCAGTCTGAGGGTGAGAGTAGAGAGAGGGAGAAAAACATCAATTAGGTGTAAACGAACCTCCAGAGTGTAGGTGTGTCAACAAACTAAATGCAGCTGAAAACACACCTTTTCACTCGTTAAAATTTATTTAATCCTAGATTAGTTGCTTTTTTCCCCATCATATCTGGTCTGGTTGTGGTTGTTGAGGCTCAGATAGTTTTGAGTCTGGTTGTGGTTGTTGAGGCTCAGATCACAACAGGGCCTGTTGTTGTTGTTGTTTTTCTTCCACCTTCACTAACTTTTCTCTGTGGAAACTCACTGGACACTTCTCTAACCTTCTGTGTCAAATGTTGTTTTTCAGTCGTCCTCATTGGAGACTCAGGCGTGGGGAAGAGTAATCTGCTGTCCCGCTTCACCCGCAATGAGTTCAACCTGGAGAGCAAGAGCACCATTGGAGTGGAGTTTGCCACACGCAGCATCCAAGTGGACGGCAAAACAGTGAAGGCCCAGATCTGGGACACGGCCGGACAGGAGCGCTACCGTGCCATCACATCAGCGTGAGTGTGTTACAGCAGGGGTCGAGAGACAGACGGAGTGTGGTGTGTAGTTGACGTGTGAATCTTTCTGTTTTTACCCACTGTTCCTCATCGATGTAACGCATGACATGTTTGTTGCGGTTCGACAGGCTGAGAAGAGTTCCGTCATAACCACAGGATAAAAAGGAAACTATCTGTGGATGAAGTCCACGCCGTCTCATAGAACTAGAACAGAGTTGTCCATCTGACTGTCCTCCACTCCCAGAGGGTACAATAAAAATGTTAATGCTCAGTGATGGTTCTGTTACAGGTACTACCGTGGGGCAGTGGGGGCGCTGCTGGTCTACGACATCGCCAAGCATCTGACCTACGAGAATGTGGAGCGCTGGCTGAAGGAGCTTAGGGACCACGCCGACAGCAACATTGTCATCATGCTGGTGGGCAACAAGAGCGACCTGCGTCACCTGAGAGCCGTTCCCACTGATGAGGCCCGGGCCTTCGCAGGTGATTTTCAAATTTGTTCAATTTGTTTGGAATAAAATCATTTTAATGTTAATAATTAAAAAAAAAACACTTGTGAGCGCTGCTATGACAAAAGCTAACGCAATCAGGTTTAATGTGTGACCAGGGTCTTTTCTACAGTCGCTGTTGTTGTTGTCGTTGTCGTTCTAACTCTTGCCTCTGACCTGCAGAGAAAAATGGTTTGTCTTTTCTGGAGACGTCAGCGCTGGACTCCACCAACGTAGAGACAGCCTTCCAATCCATTCTGACAGGTGTGTGTGTGTGTGTGTGTCAACTCACTTTATTTAAAGGCGTGATCAGCATTTTGGGTAATAATAATGTACTCTGCTGGAACAGTGAGACCAATATCAGAAGCTAGAGGTCAGTGTTTCTCTCCTGGTTTTATCTGTGACAAATCCAAATGAAGGGATTATTAATCTGGAGGAATGTCCATAAAGTCGTCCAACAGTCTCAGAGGAAATGTCCCGAGTCGGTGTATTTCAGTCATGACTGTTCGGTGTCTTGTAGTTTCTTTTCTAAACTTCGGTCCAGTCTTTGTCCTCAACAATATTAAACTCTCTCCCTCTCCTCGACTCTCTCAGAGATCTACCGCATCGTCTCTCAGAAGCAGATGTCGGAGCGTCAGGAGAGCGACATGTCTCCCAGCAACAACGTGGTCAACATCCAGGTGCAGCCCACTGAGAACAAACCAAAGATGCAGTGCTGTCAGAACATCTAGCTCCGCCCACAGCCAGTGTGCTGCTACACCCTCTTACTTCCCCCTCTGTCCGCCACCCCTTCACCCTCCCACCCCACCCTCACCCCCACCTGTCGCCTCAGAGACATGTACAGTGCAGCGAGGGAGGGACAGGCCACGCCCTCTCAGGGCTGTGACTCCGTCTCTGCCCCTTACTGCACCTCCCTCTTTTGTCCTCCTCTCTCATCACCCTGCCCTCCTCCCCTCCACACCCCCGACTGCCCCCGTGCTAGGTTGAAAATGTATCCAAGTATAAGAAGAAGTTCCTCCCCCCAGCAGGACAGCAGGCAGCAAGCATTTCATAACATGTTGAATTTCATTAGTGTAGACGCGCTAACACACAAATGTCTTAATTTATGGACGGGATGAGTTCCTCTTCCTCCTCCTCCTCTTTCACCTCCCCGACCCCCTCCTCCCCCTTCTTGCTCCTTCATCTGTTTGTATGATATCCATTGACTGCAGCTGTAAATGAATTTGAAGCACATCACTGATGCTGTAGGTTTTGTTCCTGTGTATCCTGTCATGGTAGAGCCTCCTTATCTTCTTCCTCTTCAGCCTCCTCCTCCTCCTCCTCTTCTTTAGTGCAATGTACTGTTGGATTCTCAGAGCCCAAGATGAAAGAGCGCCTCCACTCTGCTGTGGTGATATTCGATATAACAGCTGTGAATGTTAATGTTTATCAGTTTGGTGAGACTCCAGGTAGAAAAACTTCCACTTTCAGTTTTTCACTTCGACTATGCACAGATCGGCTGCTTGGAATTTTCTCCTCTTGATATCAAAGTGAGAAACAGCAGTGTCCTGGTCTGACGTCCCATCATAACCAATAATGACTATCGGTAATCTGCTGTTACCAAGCTGACCTCTGCATTGAAGCCACAGACAACATGGAGGCCTCACTGAGGGAAGCAGGAAATGGATGAAGCTGAACTTTTAACACACTTTTAGTCTCAGATAATCCAGATTCAGAAATTTTAAAGACGGTTCTTGGAAGAAAAAAAACCCAAAACCATTCGTCAACGTCAGCCTCCCCTTAAATTCTCATGTGGGAAAAGACATGAGACTGAGCCTTGTTCTGGTCATAGTGCCTCTTCCACCTCTGTCAGCAAACACGCCTTGTCTTTGACCCTTGACCTCGTCTTTAACCACTCAGCAGTGACCCGTCTGCTGCTGGAGGTCGAACACCCGCCTCACTAAAAACCACCCACCAACTGAACCTTTGAGCTTTGCTCTGTAGAAGAAGCAGGAAGCAGCTGCGTGTATGTGTGCATGTGTGTGCGAGCGCTAGTGTGTGTGTCTGTGTGTATGTGTCAAGGCTTACGGCAGAGTGTTTGAGCCTGGCTGGCAGTGCCAATGGCGTTTCATGTAACAGACGGCGCTGCCAGCCGAGCCCGTCCAGACTCGCCTTCCTCGCTCCTCGACTGTTCTTTTTTTTAAGTGTTTTTTTATTTACTTTATTCCAACAGTGACTGTAATTGTAGTGTGAACAAGTGTGAAACCATGTTAGTGAATCTGGAGGCTTTCATGTGAGTGTGGTCATATATACGACGGCTTTGTTTTGTACAGACTGAGAAATTGTACAATTTATGTCTATATCTTAAGTTATCTGTTCATCTGATTAAAGCGCACCAGTAATAAACCTTTACTTCGTTTCCGTCCTCCAGTCTGTTCATCAGCTGACCTCTGACCTGTACGGCTTAAATGTTTTTAAACAAAACAACAGAAGAACACGTGGGGTTTTAATCTGAGACGACCTCAGATTAAAGAATAAAAGAGAAATAATCTGCATCAGTTTAGTACAGGGGTGTCAAACATACGGTCCTCTGGCCAAAACCAGCCCTTGGGGGTACAATCCGGCCCACTTGATGAATTCTGA